GAGACACCAACCACGTTCCTGAGCCGCCTCCACGGTGTGGGAGACACCAACCACGTTCCTGAGCCGCCTCCACGGTGTGGGAGACACCAACCACGCTCCTGAGCCGCCTCCACGGTGTGAAGACCTCCCTGTGGGGTTTAGCCTCATGGAAACGTTCCACCATCCCTTTTCTCCTTGATTTTGCAGCCAACAAGCCGGGGGTGACCCTCGAGCAGATCCTGCGGGGCGATGTCTCTTCCCACCTGCTGGAGAACCTGCAGGAGGACAGGGAATACAGCATCAGCATCTACGCCGTGTATCCTGAGGGGCCGAGCCAGCCCGTGGCTGCTCTGGGGAGGACACGTAAGAGTTGTGACCCCGTGGTTGGTCCTTTTTGTCCCCCACCTCGGAGTTGGGGCCCTCATGCAACAAGACCTTCCCAATTCCATCCTAACTCTTCCCTCATGGACATCCCGAAGCTTGGGGGAATGTGGGAGATCGTTTTCCCTCCCGTTTTGCGCCCACACTTCACAAGGTTGGTGCTGGGAGATGTTTGGTCCTGGACAGTCACAGGTTGGGCTGCTCTGCCTCTGGTTTATGAGATGCCTTCAGCCCCTGGGCTGGAAATCCCTCTCGTGGAATCATTAAGGCTGGAAAAACCCTCTAAGATCCCTGAATCCAACCATCTCCAGCACTGCCATGTCCCCAAATGCCTCATCCACTTGGTTTTGAAGTCCCTCCAGGGATGTGACTCCACCACTGCCCTGGGCAACTCTTCCACACTTTTCATCAGGAATTTTTTCCCAACATCCAACCTCAACCTCCCCTGGCACAGCTTGAGGCCATTCCCTCTTGCCCTGTCCCTCATTCCATGGGAGCAGAGCCCACCTGGCCACCTCCTTTCAGGTGTTCCCTTCGCCCAGCTGAGCTGGAGGAACATTGATGGAGAGCCAGCAAAGTCCTCCACTCCCACGTGGGTGCTCTGAAATCTTCTTCCCTGTCCTCCTTCCAGTGAAGCTCCTGCCTGTGGAGAGCCTCTTGCTGCAGAACGAGACCACGGACACGCTCCAGGCCCGGTGGAGCCCTGTCCGGGGAGCAACGGGATACAGGCTCACCTGGACATCAGCAGGTACGGATGGGATTCAGGCTCACCTGGACATCAGCAGGAGGACAGGGGTGGGATTCAGGCTCACCTGGACATCAGCAGG